GGATCAAAATCCAGAACCATGCTTTGTTTGCACCTACTTGTCATCTCTCCCCAGTTTCAGTCTGGAGTGGTTTATTAGTCTTCCCTTGGCTTTCATAGCTTTGACCTTTCTGAAGATTATAGGCCACTTACATGAAGAATATCCCCTGATTAAGTTGTCTGATGTTTCCTCGTGGCTAGATTCAGGATCTGGATCTTTGGCAGGAATAGCACAATGATTCCTTGTTCTTCGTTGCAGCCTGTCAATTGGTGCATGAATTTAATTTTCCCATTACTGATGATTCTTACCTTGATTACTTAAGATGGCATCTGCCAGCTTTCCTCACTGCACAGTTTTCCCTTTACAATTAACAGACATTTTAATGGGGAGATGCATTGAAACCATGTAAATGTTCCACTCTCCATCAAGCCTTCACCAACTGGTTTCTGCATCCAGTGAAGCCTCCTGCCCAACTTGTTATGATGTTTGCCAAATAGTGATTTTCCAGTGCTGCCATTGCTACTACATGTATTAGTTGGCATTTTTCTGTGAGAAGAACTTTATCTTTTTCTCATTAAAAAAAATCATAGCAAAATATACTCAAGAGGTTATAATCTGTATTATTTTCATTTTTTAATTTTATTTTTTGAAGTTAGTTTTATTGAATTATATATAGTGCACAAATTTTAAGTGTACAAATTGATTGACAAATATATACAATGTGTAACCTACACCACAGTGATGATACGGAATATTTGTTACTTTAGAAAATTCCTTTATGCCCCTTTGCAGTTATCCCTTTCCCCATCCTGGCACCTGGTAGCCACCGATCTGCTTTTTGTCACTATTGTTTTGTTTTTTCTAGAATGTCACATACTTTGAATCATATCATATGTATTCTTTGGTACCTAGGATAATACCTTTGAAATGCATCTATCTTGTCCACAGTAGATCATTCCTTTTACTTGCTGGATTGGATTTCATTGTATGAATGTACTAAAATATATCTCATTTACTTTGATGGTCAAATTGCCCTTATTTGCCAATGGAAGTCCCTCCAAGCTGGACTCTGTGTCTTTTTGACGTATCTCTAATCTGTCTTTGAGTACGTCCTTGCTGTCTAACAATAGGATTTTTTAGGTTTATTTTGTACCTTTCCTGCCACAGCCCTGTTTCCAGTGGAGCATGGTATTTAATTGTCTGTCTTAACCAAATTACAGGACAAAGGATTAGTGAATCAATTTAGTAAATTTTATCGAGTGCTGAGAGGCAGTATTACACTGTTTTAGAGTCTGAGCTCTGGACTGCCTTAGACCTGCAAATCCTAACTGACATATAGTAAGTCAAGGACATTGGGCTGGTTGTTTGACCTCTGTAAGCCTCAGTTTCCTCTTCTGTAAGATGGAGATAAAGCTATCTCTGAAGGTTACTACAAAGATTAAAATTGATAATGACTATAAAGCATTAAGCATAGTGCCTACTATATAGTAATCGCTCAAATACTATTAACAGTAGCTTTTATATAAAGCACTATTCTGATTTCTTCTTGTTTCCTAAGAGAGGAAAAGATTAATTTCAGTGCTTCTAACTGGAAGCTGAGCACATTCCAAAGCAGTTGGATATGCTAGTGAATGGATTCTGGATTCTGGTTTATTTCTCTAAGACAAAATAACTATACTTTCTGTCTACAGATCACTGGGGAAAAAAGAATAGTTCTTGCAGGACCTATTATTTGTTTGTTGACTCATCCTTATTGCCTTATGATTCAGGTTATAAATGCTAAATTGTTTTCAAAGAGAAATCTTTTCATCCCATCATTTATAGGAGCTTTGCTGGCAGTAGAACATGTGAAAAACGATGTCAGCATTTCCATTGAAGAAGGGAAAGAGAATATTCTTCGCATTTCTGAGTAAGTGATTTTATATCTTTGTTTTTAGTACTGATGGCTTTTAAAAAAAATCAGCTTTAAATGTTATGTGCTTGTTTTACTTGCTAATTAGGTGGATTGTCCCTAGAAAGCAGTGTGCTTTTCTTCATCATTCTAAAAGTATTGAACCCAGTGGCTTATATTTGTCTGTAAGCTGATTCCTTCATAATCTGAACTAGAGACCTAGCTTTGAGAGCCCATCTGCAACACCGTCTGCTGAAGTGAGTTACAGCTGTTTAATTGGACCGGCCTATTCCCAGAAATGGGAGACTGGTTTAATGGGATCCTTTGCCACTCAGCTATTTAACTCGATTTTTCTCTCCACAGCCACCAACTCAGCTATTAACGTATGAAACGTATAGGAAAGTTTCAGACAGGGGAATGTTGGAGCCCAGCAAGCAATACCCTGAAGACTGGTGCTTTGACATGCTGAGAGGCCTGAGAAGCTGCAAATTTCCTCAAACCCTGTCTTGTTCCACCCCACCCCGAGCAGGAAGGGGCTTTCTCTCTGGAATTTCCTTACCTGACCATAAAAGCCTTTTTCCAAAAGAAATGCGTTGTCTTAAACCCCTTCCTTAGGGATCTCATCAAATAATCGGGACAGAAGAGACTTCACCGGCCCAGACAGATTTTTCATTTATTGTTGTGAGAGCAGCTCCAAGAGATTAAGTAGGGAACTTTATGTGCATAAGATAATCTTTGTTCCTGTGTAGCTGCCTTTCTCGTCTTCCTGTTACGTCTGCTTCCTGCTTCCCTGCTCCCACCTCCTGGCCTATTTATTCTCCCTGATGATTTACCTTCCCTCAAAAGAATTGTCTACATTTCCCATCTTCCTCCTTCCCTATGAAAAAGGGTATATAAACTTCTATATAGCACTGGGGTTATTGGATAATCACTCTGTGATTTTCCTCTGTGCACATTAATTTATATGCCTTTTTTCCTTAAAAAAAAAAAAAACTAAAAACATACGGAAAGATTTTATATAAGGCTTTTAAATTCTATTGTAATTCTGGTGGAAAATTGAAGGTATTTCAGATCAGTAGTAATAGGAAAGAAATAAATTTGTTAAGTCCACAGCATGGAATGTTGGGCATCTATGAAAAAAGGCTTATGAAAAATTTTTAAAGATGGATATGTTTATAATCTAACAATAACACAGAACACAATGTAAAATTCAAATCTGCATAGAAAAATGTTTGAGAAATGTACAACACTGTGGATGTTTTTCTTTTTAGTTGTCTGTGTTTTCAGCATTTTCTACAATATGCATATATATTTATGTTTTTGATTAAAGCTAATCATTTGCAGCCCAGGCTATAGAGAAGATTGAGTGCCCTTGAACTCATCTCTTTTCTTTGGAACCCATTGGAAAAAATAACAAATAAGGGAGGACATGATTCTTTCATATAATGAAACTAAGGAATAGACACAACTTGGTTTCAGATTCAAGAATACTTTGCAGATAGATGAATCTGGACCAGATTGAAAGAGGTGTCAAAGGTATTCTCAAGCAGAATGCAGATTTTGAAATGCGTTTAAAAGGTCCGTGATAAACTGATACAAGAAAGACTTGTATTGGTGAAGAGACAAGGTATGTAAAATAAGATATTACCAGCTTGGCGCCATTTTCCTGTGAAAAAACTTAGAAGTAGGATTGAAAGATGCGCCACGCAGCTTCTTGACTTGGAAAACTTGCCATGCTCACTTGTTGAAGCCTCACAGGGAGAATGAACAGAATCCAAGAGAAACATTTCCATTCTCTACTACTGTTTTATCCTGATATTTTACAATTCTTTGTTGACTAAAAGTAATTGAATATGGCATAGTGTTATTAACAGTTGTAATACGTTAAATATCACTAGTTCGAATTTATTTTTTTAAAAAGCTGAATGTTATTTATGGAGTTTTTGTAGTGATGTTACTTTGATCTACCGGCAGTGATTGGAATTAGGCTATCGTTTCATAGTAGTCTAACTTTAATGAATAAACCTAATAATTCTTGCCTTAATAAACATACTGTCCCAAGACAGGAAAACAGTTGTTGCTGAAGTGCTTGGCTTCTATTAATAGTTAGTAGATACGTATTTCACTTGAAAACCACTAATTTGCCTTTCCCAGACTTAACTCTTACCGTTGACTTGCTGGTCACATAATTAGCGAACTGGTATTTATAGTAATAATCACTGAGGTGACTGTGAGAACATGGATAAAGGAAATTATGTAATCTGTAATTATGTTCTCAAAGTACCACCCTAAACAAATTGTCCCATGTGCCTCTTTTCATCTCTATCCCATCCCCCCATTCCCAATAGAGCCCTAGTCAAAGTGTTGCAGATACACATTTTTCACGTGCTCAAAATTAATCTCTTTCTATAAGATTCCAGATTTCATATTTATTCGTGTTATTTATAGTTCTTGACAAGCCTAGTCTATTTTTCCATTAAAATTCTTTTTCTAAAATCAAGACTACATATGCAAATACTTTAGAGGCATAGTTCTGTAAGTTTTTACATAAAAAAATATCAGTCATCCAGCCCCCATCCTCCATTTTTCCCTCTAGGAGTGAACATTTCACCTCTTTCCAACTGATTCTTTTGGTATCGACCTCTGTCCCTAAGTAACATTCTGATATTGTTTTTCTTTGCTTTTCCAGTTTTAGACATCTTTCTACGACAAAAGATTAAGCTAAACTCTTCTTTCCCCTGTTGCCACTACGTACACTCACCCTACACTCACTAACCTACTTCCTCCCAATGTAATTGTATCATAATTCTGGTTTGATCACCGTTCAGTGTTAATATTATAATGATTATAAGTTTTATTCATTGCTGAGCCACATGCTATAATTGCTTTTCTTTTTTATTTTTTTACATTTCAATTTTTTTCTTTAAAAAGAGTGAGTTGTGTACAGGGGGGTTAAATGCTTTATAGACAAGAAAAAAAAAACTGCGCTAGAACCAACTTATTCATCATCATCATCTTCTTTTTCATCTTCATCTTCTTCATCTTCCTCCTCCTCTTCATCTTCCTCCTCTTCCTTCTTTTTCTTGCTTTTTTCAGCCTTGACGACTCCCTTTTTTGCTGCATCAAGCTTTCCTTTAGCTCAGTATGCAGCAATATCCTTTTCGTACTTTTCCTTCAGCTTTGCAGCCTTCTTTTCATAAGGCTGTTTGTCATCTGCAGCAGTGTTATTCCACATCTCTCCCAGTTTCTTTGCAACATCACCAATGGATAGGCCAGGATGTTCTCCTTTGATTTTAGGGTGATACTCAGAACAGAACAAGAAAAAGGCCGAAGGAGGCCTCTTGGGTGCATTGGGATCTTTGAACTTCTTTTTTGTTTCCCCTTTAGGAGGGATATAGGTTTTCATTTCTCTTTCATAACGGGTCTTGTCCGCCTTTGCCATATCTTCAAATTTTCCTTTCTCTTTAGCAGACATGGTCTTCACCTCTCTGAGCACTTCTTAGAAAACTCTGAGAAGTTGACTGAAGCATCTGGGTGCTTCTTCTTGTGCTGCTCCCAGCAAGTTTGCACAAAGAATGCGTATGATGACATTTTGCCTCTCGGCTTCTTAGGATCTCCTTTGCCCATGTTTAGTTATTTTTCCTCAGCGAGGCACAGAGTCACCCAGTGCCCCTCCGGCTCTCACTTGCCTCGGCGCTGTCTCTATGGAGCTCAATGTACTGCAATGGCTGTGAGAGCGGGAGCCAGATGCAGCCTCCTCCTATAATTGCTTTTCACGTAGAACTTTTAGATTTCCATGAATAATTGTTGTTGTTTGCTTTGTACCTTTCTTCGGAAGCCTCTAATTTTTCATCTTTCTGTGTGACTTTAGGAAGTTTAGAGGAATCTTCCCTTAGGAGTCTGAAATTTTACAATAATATGGTTTACTTGATCTATTTTTTATCTGTTCTGCTGGCATTTGTTTGCTTCTTTCAATGTACAATAGAAACTTGGAAATCCCATTTTGGGAAAATAAAAATTTTATTCTTTGATTTGAAAAATTTTTTCCTCTTCATTTTCTGTCCTTTATGTGGATGTGGGGATTAGTCCTTTTATTTTCTTAAATTGTTGCCTCCATTTTTTATCCTTTTTTAATTTTTAGAGATGAACTCTCTGTGTTGCCCAGGCTGGAGTGCAATGGCTCTTCACAAGTATGATCATAATGTGCTGTAGTCTTGAACCCCTGGGCTCAAGCAGTCCTCCTCCCTCTGCCTCCCAAAGTGCAGGTGTTAACAAGCATGAGCCACCATGCCCAGCCCGATCTGTCTTCTTTACCTGGAAGTTGGTAAAACTAGCTTCTTTGTAATTGTATGTACTTGGCTTCTTTGCCTAATTTATTTTAAATCACTGTTACTCTCAATATCCCAATTATATTTTCACATCATCACCCCTGAATAGACATACAGAAACTAATAGAAGGATGAAACATCAAATAGAAAGTCTACTCTGAAGTGAATTGATGGATTTAACTCAATATTTTAGAACAAATTGGAATTTGATAGAAACAGAGTAAAGAACAAATTAGCAGATCCATTTTTTACTGTAGTAGAAAATACATGATAAATGTAAAAATGTTTCAATTTTTACATTTCTTCATAAGTCTCATGACTTTTAGTGATTTGCTAGAGCAGCAGTAATATTTTATCTCATGCTTATATTCTAGAAATGTGGTATTCACAGATGTGAATTCCATACTTCGCTACTTGGCCAGAGTTGCAACTACAGCTGGGCTCTATGGCTCTAACCTGATGGAACATACTGAGGTAAACAATGTACATTTCCTTATGTGTGTTGTCTTATTTTGATTTATGCTTCTGGTTTTTTGGGAACCTCACCTTATTAGCTTACTTCCTCTTACTCTACTTAGGGATATTAACAGAGTGTTAATTATAGAGTTAGGAAGTGCTCATCTGCTTTTTATTTTCACAAAATATTCTCTTTTTTTATAGCTCCTAAGTTTGAACATTTAATCCCATACCAGCTGTCCTATTGGGTCATTTAGTGCTGTCTTCATCTTCCCAGATTCCTAGAATTTTGTAGCTGGATGGAGCTGTATAGATCATCTCATTCAACTTCTTACTTTATAGATAAGGCAGCAGGCTTAGAAAAGTTAAGAAATTTACCCAGGGTAACACACATAGTTTGGAACCCATTTTTTTTCCTTTTCTTCTTCTCCTTTTTTTTCTTTTTTTTTTTTTTTTTTTTTT